TCTTGGTATTCTGGCACTTCAGGGCAGGGGAAAGCAAGTCACAAAGTTCCATGAAAGTGCCCTTACGCATGCGAAAGTTTTGCAGCCACTGGGAATCGTCCCACACCTGCAACACTATGCGGTCCCACCAATCTGTGCTTGTTTCCCAGGCCCAGAATCGGCGTTCCACGGGTAGAACCTGCCCCATTAACAACATGATCTCCAAAGCACCGGGGGCCCGCAGTTTGAGAGAATTCTGTGTCCATGTCCTCATCACTCTTGTCTCTGCGCTGCCGTCGCCGCCTCCTCCTCTCCTTGTTTTTCTGGTCCTGGTTCAGCATAAACTGCACGAGAACACGCGAGGTGTTTACAATGTTCATGACTGCTGTCTTGAGCTGAGCGGGCTCCATGCTTGCCGTAGTATGGAGTCTGCAGTGTTCACCCAGGAAAAAAGGCACGAAATGGTTGTCTGCCGTTGCTTTCATGGAGGGAGGGGTGAGGCTGTAGCCAGAACCACCTGCGACAATGTTTTTTGCCCTATCAGGCACTGGGATCTCAACCCAGAATTCCAATGGGCGGGGGAGACTGCGGGAACTATGGGATAGCTATGGGATAACTACCCACAGTGCAATGCTCCGGAAATCGACGCTAGCCCAGGTACATGGACGCACACCACCGAATTAATGTGCTTAGTGTGGCCGCATACATTTGACTTTATACAATCTGTTTCCAAAATTCGAATTCTGTAAATTCAGATTAATCCCGTAGTGTTGACATACCCGCAGTCTCAGAAGTAGAAGATTCATTATGAAGCCCGTGCACTAATCTATCACTTCCAGAGGCAGCATTTCTTGAAAGGAGTTGAGACATACTAATAGAGTGCAAGTAAGCTGTGTGCACGGGCCTGGTGGTAGCATTAGTTCCATGGGTAGAAGTCCTAAGTATCCAAAGATGTCAATCTACTATCTTTCATGAGCACTTTTCTTGTGTAGTGTATTGATCCAAGAGCAGGTGGCCATAGCAGCAAACAATTTGTACAAATTCCCTCTACATAGCCAAATTGAACTAAATTTGTAGTGCAGGATGAATATGAAATTAAAGAATTTAAAATTTGCTTAAGTTTGGTTAAGAAAATATATGTGTTATAAAGACAGGCCCTGACTAGCAAGTAGAAGGAAGGCCTTGAAAATAATGAGTTATAAGGCCAGAAGGAATGAGATAGGGAGGATGTCTGGTTCAAAGAATATCTAATATGATACAGGGAAGTTTCTAAAAAGAAGGCCTCTGACCAACAGGTGTGACTTCACATGGTTTTAAATAAGACAAAAGGAATCTGTTTTAAAAGGAGCCAACATAAACTTTCCCACCCCACATACCAGTGTTATCTTAAAAGTAAAGGTTTCAGAGTAGCAGTCGTGTTAGTCTGTATCCGCAAAAAGAACGAGGAGTACTTGTGGCAACTTAGAGACTAACAAATTTATTTGAGCATAAGCTTTCTTGTTAGTCTCTAAGGTGCCAAAGTACTCCTCGTTCTTTTTTCTTAAAAGTAAAGCATATGTGGACCCAGCTGCAATGGAAAAAATGTTGGTCAGCAAGGAGGAGGAGAGGAAAGGCCTTGGGAAGAAAATCTTATTTGGATTAAGACTGGAATGAAGGGTGAATTGTCTCAAATTGCCAATTATTGACTTCCTCTAAAAAACGATGACATCATTTGTTTGTTAAAGGGTATAAAAAGAGTTATGTGTAATGGGTTGGACCCCTTGGGAAGCCACCTGATGTGCTGAGATACCACTGAGTCTACCTGTTCTGCCAGCATGGGTCCCCTTTAACCTGTCTTGCTGAGCCAGGCTCTCAAAACCTCCTCTAACACACACACAGGCAGGGCTACACCCAGCTGCAGATCGGTTCTGGGAAGATTCAGCTTAAGAGACTTGCTCCAGCACTCAGATGTCCACCTTCCTTGGAGTGCAGACCCAAAGAGATATTATGAAATTGCTGCCCCCCACACCCGCAATATGGAGAGAAGTATGCACACTTCTCCCCACCCCAGTTCGAAATTACAGAAACTAGGTTTAATAATAAACAAAATAAATTGTATTAACTATAAAAGGCAGGATTTTAAGTGGTAAAAGGGGAAACAAACAGAACAAAGCAAATTACTAAGTAAATAAAATCAAACATGCAAACTAAGCTAATTTCACTAAAGAAATTGGTTACAGATAGTATTTCTCAGCCTAGATATTGTTGCAGGCAGTTTGCAAAGTTTCTGTGGTTCAGAGTTCCAGTTATATTCCTTTTTAGACTGGACCACAGTCTCAGTCTGGACTCCCCATCTTGCTTTCCCTTTTGCAGTCTTTCTTCTTGGGCAGACAGGCCAGGGAGAGGAGTCCTGTCTGCCTTACTCCCCACCCTTACATAGGATTTACATAAGGCAGGAATCCTTTGTTTCCCCAACTTGACCCCCGCCTTCTTCCCTTACAGTGGAAAGTTACCATAAGTCCCAGGTAATGTTTAGTATCAAGTGACAAGACCACCTGACTCTGTAGTATCACAGCCTCCATGAGTCAGTGGCAGTATGGAGCATCCACAGGAAGGCCATGCTTTTCACAGCTCATTGTCCTTACTGATGGGCCATCCACCCCGTTTGTCTTTTCCATTGTTGCACCTGAAGTATTAGCAGTGGGCGTCACCCAAAGTAGCATAGTAGGAATACAGATACATAGTCAATATTCCTAACTTCAGATACAGAAATGATACAGGCATACAAATTGGATAATCGCATTCAGTAAATCATAACCTTTCCAATGATATCTCACATGAGCCATCTGGCATAAAGTATATCTCAGTTATGTCATATTCATATGATAAGCATATTTTCATAAAGAATATGGAATGACATCACATTATGAATCTAAAGTTTCTTTGTTAGACCCTATTTGATCATGTTGGAGCACACCACAATGAGATGGTTTTCCCTTGGTCAAGTCTATTTAGTAAGTATACTGATCATATGCTTATGAATACTTTGTTACTGTATTGGGTGAACTGACTGCTTATTTTTAAACTGTTAGGCATGTTCAGAGCAATGCTAGAAAATGCCATTTGGCCTTTGGACTTAAAAACATGAATTTTTGGTAAAATTAGTGTCTTATGGTCTCTCCCATAATATTAATAATTTCTAATATTATTAATAATTCCGACATCTAGTAAATTGATACACAAACCCATTTCTCTCACATCTACAACCAATTAGCATTCTTATTGTACATAATAAAACAGTATACAGCATACCAGAATTTTTTCAGTATTGAGAGAAAGCAGAGATTCACAGGATGAAGACCCTCTTAGTTCACAGTCTGATTCATGGAAGTGCAAAAGTGGTGAATCTGCAAAAACAAAAATTTGAATTATCTCTGGATAGTCTACTTAAACAGGGTATAAATGTATCAGATCATGCAAATGACATGTTTCCTCATGCCAACCCCACCTTTTAAAAATTCCACTACAGGGCAGTCCCATAGAGTAGGATTGTTCATATGTTCCATACATCATGTTTGTTCCAGGGGTGATGGCAAGAAGTGCAGTAGCTGACGTGAACCTTGTTATACTATTTCTGCCTATGGAGCTGACCAAAATTTGTGTGCAAGAGTAGTAGCACAGAGAAGCTGGATGGGGAGAAAACCAGGAGATGAGGATGGGGGGGGGAAATGTGAGGAGGAAGAAGTGTGAAAGTGATTGGAAAAAGCAGTGCATGTCAGTTTGAGACTATTTGGTCCCTCATTCTTTGAGCCAGCACATTCAGGTCCTAGGGAGAATCACTGGATGGGTCTATGTCCAGCCTTCAGATGGAGGAAAGGTGGCTGGTATGCTGGCCAGCAAATAGTGGGGTAAAGACTGGAAAGGGATAGATGAGAAAGATTAAGGAGACAAGAGTAGAAAGAATGGTAAAAATACGGGATGGGACACAAACACATGAAAAAGTAGCAGTTAAGATATTACAGTGAAAGGCACTATAGAAAGTCTAACATGAATAAAAATCCAAATATGGGATACACCCAGAAAGAGTATGTAAATGGGGTGGGGAAGTGGGGGAGAGCAAAGGGAAGAAAAAAAATAATACATTACGTAATTGTAGAAATCAAAATAGAATCTGAGGCATTACAGAGTTTAATGACTACAGTTAACTGGACTGACAGATACAAGAAACTAAAATAAAAATAATCTTCACCAGTTTGAAATATTGAAGAAGGCAAAAGACTTCTACCACATCTGCAAGAAACAATATTAACCCTTTGCTTATCTACTGCAAATAGCAAAGTTTTAACAAACGTTTATCAGTGGAAAGGCAAAAAACTCTGTAAGAGCCTTCTTGTTTCAATTTTGTTAAGCTGTTGCTCCTCCTCTTTACTATTGTAGGAAACATCTTACTTGTGTGTCCTGATTATAAAACCCAAACAAAAATGGTATAACCAGGTAATTCAGAGAGAGAGAGAGAGAGAGAGAGAGAGAGAGATCAACAGAACAAAAAGCAACACAGTCTATTTATAAAATACAAGTTGGAACAGCAACAAAAATTAGTCACTGCAAGTAGAAAATGAAGTTATAGTTCTAAATGAACCATAAACGAAACTTGGGGGGATGATTCTCATAATAGGAATTATACTGTTTGAGGAGCCCAAGATTCACAGATTTTAAGACCAGAAGGGACTACAATGATCACCTAGTGTGACCTTCTGCCTAATGCATGATATAAAGTTTCATCCAGTAATTCCTGCAACGTGCCTAATCTGCATAAAGAATCAAGGTGAAGGGGTGGAGTGCCGTGCCATTACATCAGAAGTATTTACTATGCCAGTGAGCTACAATTCAACTACTAGGCGTTTAATGATTAAGTTCTTTGCGTAAGGATACAAGGAAAAAATTAGAGTGGACTATCTGTTACAAATCACAGGATAGAGAGGACATTTAAAAAGAAATCCTGGACCAATTTACAAGATTCTCAAAACTCTTAAGATTAAATCTACTTATGGAGGGATTTCACTACCCATAAATCTTTAGGTTAATAAATACTGTCAAACTTGCATCAAATTGTTTCCTAGGTTACGCAGAAGACAACTTTATGAACCACAAAGTAGAGAATCCAACCAAAGGAGAAGCCATACTGGATCTACAATATAGACAGGAACTGACTGAGCATGACAGCAGTAGGGAAGTTTGAGAAAAACCAAATCCTCTTAGCCAAAAGGAGAGTTTTTCCAATTATTGATTCATTTAACCAGAACTGAAAGATTTGTAAACAGCTGAGAATGGATTGGTGTGCCACTGGTTTTAAAACTAGCACAGATACTGTTTCATAGTTAAATCAATAAGGAGTCGCTGTATGATCAATGCAGTCATAAGGAAGGAAAACTTTCAACTTAATGTTAATGTACCTGCTATTATTAGTTCAACTAATCATGAACTACCATTTTACATGCTTTATTTTGCATAGCATTTTTCATACAAGCTGTATCCCAACCAGTACATCGAAATTTTCATCTTTCAACCATCTCTCCATTGGAGAATCCTAACTCAGCCTGTCATACAAGTACCTATTTCATTATAAACATAAGAAACAGCAGGTCACTGGAATGGCTAAGCTATGTTATATTTATTAGGATGCAACCTGTAAACATATAAAAGTACCAGACTTGCTTCGCCTGCAAGCTACATGAAACAAACAAATAGTGCTAAGAATTTTGTGTTTTATACTCTTTGAAGTGGGGACCAATTTTGTATTGTGTTTTTACAGCACCTAGCAAAATGGGGACGTGGTCCCTGACTAAGGCTCCTAGGTGCTACAGTAATACAAACAACTACTCCAGGGATAGGCAACCTATGGCACCTGTGCCAAAGGCAGCATGCAAGCAGATTTTCAGTGGCTCTCACATTGCCCAGGTCCTGGCCACTGGTCCCGGGGGCTCTGCATTTTAATTTAATTTTAAATGAAGCTTCTTAAACATTCTGAAACCTTATTTACTTTACATACAACAATAGTTTAGTTATATATTATAGACTTATAGAAAGAGACCTTCTAAAAAGGTTAAAATGTATTACTGGCACGCGAAACCATAAATTAGAGTGAATAAATGAAGACTCGGCACACCACTTCTGAAAGGTTGCTGACCCCTGAACTAATCATTTCCATTTGCTATAAGGTGGATGCTTTACATAAACAATTTAAAGGGCAGCAGTCTTAAGAGCAGAGCCAAATATATTTCCATATCCAAATATATATATTCACACATAAAGACAAAAATATTTTTTCACGAGTCTTTGCTAAACTTGTTTTAAACTTCTCTAAATAACCTTAGCAGGATATGCCAGTACACACAGCATAAAACAACAACACCACTGGAAACTATGGAAGTCACAAGCTAGAGTTACATAAATAACTCTGGCAGTTTCTTTATTACATTGGATTTTTTTTTCTATTTTTCATATTTCTATATTCATTTGGTTTTGTTCACATGTATTGCCTGTAAGTGATGTGCATTATATCTAAGTCACAAAGGATGAACAAATACATGCTTATGATCAAATGTTATACTGAATGTCCTACAAAGACTTAAGTGTATGCAGAACTTTAGTCCCACTGATGGCTTCTCATGTGAGTAAAGTTATGCACATGCTTAAACCTTTGCAAGATTAGGGTCTAAATTAAGCAGATTCTTTATTAACAAACAAAACAAATAGAACTAGTGAAACATTAACTTTACCAGCAAGACAACTTTTTTTTTTTTAAACTGAATCCTATTCAACACACTAACAAATAAGGAGCTGGCAAGTCTCCATACCACCAAATACACAATTCAGGCTTGCACAGGCTCTGTATTTGCAATTTGCAAACCTGCCAGTTCTCTTTTCATTCATTTTGGATTAGAACCAACGACATCAGTCAAGAGGACTCACACTTTCTGTTGGCCTTTTGAAAACTGAAAACTTTTTTCTTCATGTTAGCTTATTGCAACAGCCAAAGTCATGATTTGGTACCATCACTGATAATTTTTAATGTACTATACAACTCTAAAGTGTTTGTCGGGAATACGGTTTATACAAAAGATGCTGTAACAATAAGTTACGTTGAACATTTAAATCTTGATTATCTGAAGCTAAGTTATCCAAAAAACAGGGCTATATCACCAGCATTTCTTATAATTAAAGGACCAGAGCCTACAAATTTCTTCATGTTCATGGACTTATGCCCAAATTAAGCCCTGCGATGTTTGCCCATGCAAAGCAGCAGAGAGGACCTGAGCCAAAATTCTCTCCTCTATCTGAAATTGATCAGTGTCCCTATGACAAGAGATCAATCTGTGCTTTGTTTTTCCTGGTTTACTTTCAGTCACCTCCAGGGTTATCCCAGCCCCACAAAGCACAGAAAAGAAGTGAATTTCACTGGAAATGCCTCTATCACTCACACCCCTTCCTTCTCCAAGATACAGTCAAAGGAGGGGAGAAGTCCACATCATCCCACTGCCTTCAGGTGACAGGTACCTAACGAAGGTATTGACCATTCACCTCATCTCAGAGGCTTGCCAGGCTCATGGCACCGCGGAGACAGGGGGATGGCAGAGAGGCCAAGCAAAACAGGGCAAACCCACTGCTCGTAGGGTAAGTAGCTATGGGACCCATCACGGGGCTGGGAGAAAGGACCCCGCGGCGGAGGGCAGCAAGGAATGACTGGCGGCCACCACCTCACGAGAGCCACGGACAAGGAAGAACACGCCGCGCGCACCCTACGCGCACTCATACCCCAGGACACGCCGCGCGCGCGCCTCCCACCGCCACGCCCGGTAACACGCCGCGCGCCTCCCACGCGCACTCACACCCGGTGACACGCCGCCCCTACAGAGAAGGGTCCCAGGACAGGGGGAACCTCTTCCATGCACCACTCCTTGCCGCCGCCTCCGCTGGCCCTTGCCCGGCGGCTCCCCCAGCAGGCAGCGGGGCAGGACGTGGCGCTGCCCGACCCGACTTACCGCACTCGGCCGAGTATTGTTCCCCCCAGTCCGGCGCCTGGGGACAGCCCCCAGCCTGGCCCTGCCGCGGCTGCCGGTGCAGCTCCTGCTTGAGCAACGACAGGGCCGGGTACTGCTCGGTCAGGGCCAGCGCCGCCCGGGCCGCCCCCAGCAGCAGCAGCAGCACGAGCAGTCCCAGCGCAACGGCGCCCCAGCAACAGCGGCAGCAGGTCCCGGTGGCAGATGCCATCTTCTCAGCGCGCATGCGTGCGCCTCCCCCTTTGCATGTTCAAGGTGGTTCCTTTCTGCCGCGCCCCCCACAGCGACAGGTGGGGGGAAGCTGCGGCCTCGCTCCCTCATGGGATTTGTAGTTTCCGGCCGTTGCATCCCCTGAACGAGCATAGTCTGGAAACTACAACTCCCATGATGCACTGCGCGGCGTCTCGCCTCCTCATTGCCCTGAACCGGGAAGCGAGGCAATTTAAAGCGGCTGGGAGGGGGGTTCCTCTGGTAACGGCCACTCGCCAAGGATGGGGGAGCCCGGCGGCTACAGGTGTGTCGAGTGCAACCGGGAAGCTCCTGAGCTTTACAGGGACTATCAGCGCGGGGTGCTGCGCATCGCCATCTGCGTGAGTGGGCCGGGCCGGGCCGTGGGGTGGGGGCTCCGGAGTGAGGGTGTCTGAAGCGGGTGGGGTCCCCCGAGCTCAGGCCCTGTCCGTCCTGGTTCGGGGGCAGGCGCCCGGTCTCCTGAGCTCTCCTCTGAGCGGGTGTTTTAGTCACACCGGCCCCTTTGCTTTCGGCATTGTACATACACACGCGCACTTACGTGGCGTCCGCAGCCCGAGCAACCTTCAAGCCGTCCCGGGTGCAGCTCCCCGGATGGCAGCCCCCGTGCGAGCGGCGCTGTGGCAGGGATTACCCCGGGCTGGCTAACCCGAGACTGGGAATCAAAAACCTGGGTTCTGTCCCGTTCCCTCCCCCTGCAACGGCTCAATCCTACAGGTTGCTCCAGGACGTTGTGTGGTGTGATTATTTTTGGTCCCGCATCTCTTTAATCTCTCATTCCCACAAACCCACCCAGGGATTTCCCAACACTCTCCCCCTCCCCCCCCCCCAGTTTTGTGAACTAGTTACATGCAGTATTGCCAATTTAGTGATTGTTTGGAACCTTGAATTGAAATTGAAACATTAATACACACTTTTTTAAAGCATATAAAGTATATGATAAAATGCATATATCTGAAAAAGTATAATAGATTTGAAAAGTTTGAACATAGACTAGCTCCCTTATACAGCTGTTGTTTTTTATGATAATGTCAGTGCATTCATTTTGGTGATGTTGGCCAACCTAATAATTTCAAATGATGATTTGTAAGCAAAGTCTAAATGAGTTTTCCCTGACAGCTAGTGATGAGCTGGGGGGGGAAAGGCTTCAGGACCAGACTGTATTTACATTCACACCTAATCTACCTAGGTATCCAGCAAACAGAGCTGTGTTGCCCAAGTGATAGATTTTGGCTGGGGTTGGGTTACAAATCACTTGAAAGTGGGGGGAGGGGTAGAAGAGGGGGTAATGAAATGAACTTACCCTCAATTAGCACAGGCTATCAAGAGAGGGTGGGGACAGGTGTTTTGCTTGATGGTCTGCCTGAGTCACAAGTACTATTTGACTTGCCCCCTCCACTGTTTTTAAAGACACAGCTGATTAGGCTCCATAGATAGTCTTTTGTTTTGTTAAGTGACCACTATAGCTGAAATCACTGATAATCAGGTCTAAGTGCTTAGACCTGCTGTGGGACAGTGTTTCTGTGGAAGAGATGGCCCAGTCTGCACTAGCAGCGAGGTTCCCCCACTGAGAGTTCAGCTGAAATCATAGAGCTGGGTGGAACCTCAAGAGAGTAACTCCCAGAGGCCACAGTGGCAGGTGGGAGCAGAAGGTGATGGCACAGGGCCATTGGCAACAGAACAATGGCATGAACGGTGGCACAACGAACAATAATGGCCAGAGCAAACAGTGAGCAGCTTGGGGAATGAGCAAGGTGCCTTCTTGCCCCCCACCTGGGAGGCGAACTCATGGGAAAACACCTCTGAGTCTCCGCCGACCAAGGACAACACCGGTGAGTGTTAATGAGGCTGTTAAGAATGCTGGAGACACAAGACCGTTCATGCGAACAAACATGGCTGTGGCATCATACTTTCTATTTAAGTAAGCTATACCACACGCTACAAACTGGAGGCCAATGTTAAGTGCATTGTCACTTGTTCATCCTGAAGTTGAACACTGGTTCCGAACAAGACCAGCAAATGCTAACTATCTTTCTGCAAGAAACTCAATTGACTGGCTAGAAACATGTGGTGAAACAGTGAAAGACTCAACAGTTGAAAAAGTGAAGAATTTTCTCACCACATTCAAAAAATTTGCATATATGGCTGATGAATGCACTGGTGCAAATGGGCATCAAGTATTAAGTCATTGTGTACAGTATCTTGATGTCAGTGATAGGCCAGTTGATGCATTTCTAGATGTTCAAGTTATAGAAGACAGATCAGCTGCATCTGTGACAACCCACATCTTAGAGTTAAATTCTTGTCAAGTGGACCCTGTTAGGTAAAAAGCAAGGCCTCACTCTCCTCTCCAGCACCCGAGTT